AAAAAAAAAAAAAAAAAAAAAAAAAAAAAAAAAAAAAAAAAAAAAAAAAAAAGAAAACACAAAACTAAAAATTTTTCTTGCCTTTGTAATGCCTCTGTAACCAAGTTTGGTTATTTACAAGGCCACATGAATTCAGCCTAGCTGTTAACCACTTGAATTCCTCATCTCTGTAACCATGCTTGCTCATCTGCTTAGACCACATAAATACTGAGAAGCCAAAACTTGCAGCTGCCTGGCTGCCTGTTTCAGATGTATGTTGAGAAACTGAAACGTAGAAACCTGGAATAGTCTGCCTATTAATAGTTTAGCCCTGTTAAACCTGAGCTTGGGGTCCAGATTTTTGGAGCATTAGCTCATCTGGGCCCGCTGGCGTAATAAATACATGACTCTCCAACCCTCTGAGTGTTGGTCGCTTCCTTGCCAAGTCCGTTTCTGTAACACACCAACTCAAGCTCTGCCAAGAAGTCATTATTTTTATTTATTTATTTATTTATTTTAAAAGATGACCGGTAAGGGGATCCCAACCCTTGACTTGGTGTTGTCAGCACCACGCTCACCCAGCGAGCCAACCGGCCATCCCTATATGGGATCCGAACCCGTGGCCTTGGTGTTATCAGCACCGCACTCTCCTGAGTGAGCCACGGGCCGGCCCAGAAGTCATTATTTTTAATATTATTCAGAAATAATACCTTTGGCTTCTATTCAAATCATCACAAATACCAAATTCTTGTAGTCCAAACTGATGATGATTTATTGTTACATTTTCTAATAACTCATCACTTTACTCTTCTGGAGACAGACTTGAAGTGTCTTGTTTGCTCCCTTTTACTTACTCATGACCCACCTCACACCATGACCACCCCTGCCCAAAAGAGAATGATCTCCAGCTGTTGAGAGTAAGTAGGCTTATGTTATTAATATAAGCTATTGAAAGTCAACTTCTTAGCAGAATAGGGTGGATAAGATGGTATTCTATAACATTTTTTTGGCTAATGGAGACCTCCACTTAGACTAAAGACTTGAGCTGACTGATAGTGATGTGCTGCAGGTTAGATGGTTTGGGGTGCTTATGAAATCTGGTACTGATTGATAAGAGTTGGAACAATTCTGTTTTACTTTTCTCAATTCATATTAAAGGCTAGGTATAGAGAAAGTCTTTATCCATTTTATTTTTTCCTAGCCAGCATATCTCCTGTCCTTGGCATAGTCCTAATGGTATTGCGAGTGACATCTATTCTTCAGTTCTAAAGAAATAACTGTGCCGGTAAGATGGGTCTTTTTATATTTGTATTTCAGTCCTTCCTTTCTTTGCCACTCCTCTCAGGCCTTGTTCATCTGGGACTGTGAGTTTATAAGCCTGTATTGCCTTCCACAATTGCATTAAAAGGTGAATTTAACCCTGAATGTAAAGATAATAATTCCCACCCAAAAATGTTTTGAAAAACTGTAATCCCATACTTTTCTGGGCTACCCTGGGCCACAGAGCACCTCTAGTCACTTCCTGCCTCTGTGTTATCTTGGCCTTATCAGCCCTGTCACCCTGTTGCTAGTCTCCCTTTTGCTCTTAGTGACTTTTTAAAAACCATTGTTTGTTTTTCTTGTTGCTTGTGTTACTTCTTTTACTGAAAGATTACAGGATTCCTTAGTGGCCACCAAATAGCAGAATTTGAAAATCTATGTGAATATGTGCATACTTTTCTTTAAGAGAACTCTAAGCTGAAATACATATCAGCCTTGAAACCAAACTTCCCAATTTCTCAGTTATTTAAGTTTATGTTAATTTCAATCAGTTTGTTAGTTTTCATTTAATAGGCCCTAAAGAGATGAGTGGTTTGCCTAGGGTGACCCAGCAAGTCAGTTGCTTATTCAATTATTATTCCAAATCCCACAGGGTATAAAAAATCTAAAACTCTTACTCAAGGACTGTTCTCCCTCTGCAGTTTTGTTTTTTAGCTGTACAGTTACATGTATGTCCCCACTTTCCCACTTGCAGGTTGGTTGAGGGCTATTAATGCACACATGATGGACACCAAAGACTGGTAGAACTAGAGAGAGAAATACGGCTGCTGTTTTTGTATCCTAGAATATCCTGGTGGTAAGTTAGGTAATGTGTCATATAAAACTGCAAAAGAAAGGGAAAGACTGACATTAAAACAACCCTAATTTTTTCTCTGTTATCTCAGTGTGTTGCTCTATTCCTATTGAGTTTTCCTCTCCCATTCAGTACAATCAGTTCTAAATTGTCTTGACACCATTTTCTACACTTTAAACAAACTTTTCCCCCTAACTTCTCAGTTAAGTTAAAAGCCTCTTATTGAGGATATGGTCAACTTGGTAGATGAGAGAGAAAGTCAGAAAGAGAGAAAAGAGAGAAAGAAACTTCAATTAGATGGTAATTTTTATTAAAATGCACTCTATAAGAGGAAAGAAATATGTTCATTTTGATGAATAAAGAGAAAACTTAGGTTTCTAGTTGATGTCCATTTTACAAGTAGCCTTTGGAAGGCACACCAAATATTATAGGCATTAAAAATGCTGACTTAATGCTGGGCAAATCCATGTACTCAGAAGATATTCACCAATGATCCATGGGTGAATACCTGAAGAAAATGAATTTTAAAAATTGGTACTTATGACTGGTTCAGCTTGCCTCTCTCAGAGAAGGTGATTTTGTTTACTCTGAAAATGCCCCTCTCTCCCTACATCACACTTGCCTGACAAAAACCTCAACCCTGGCTAAATCCAGCTGTTCACCTACTGCGTGCCCACACCCGCACCCACACCCACACAGCGGAGCATGACTGGTCCTCTGAGTTATGCCCACCCACACCCTTCTAGGGGCCTGCAGTGCTGCACGGGGTCCCCCACACCCCCCACAGCTCTGCTCAGCCTCGCTCTCTGCTGATGACTTTGCCTCCTCCTTCACTGAGAAGACAGAAGCAGTTAAAAGAACTTCCACAAGCTCCCACCTTGAAATCTACCCTCCTGCCAACATCTGGGCCACTGTTCCCTGCTTTCCCTCCAGGCAAACTCTCCATGTTCCTGTCCAAGATCATCTGGATTGATCTTATCTCTCTTGCCTTCTCAAATATAGTAACTCCAACAACTTTTCCTTCTCTTTCCAATTTGTACTTTGCCCCTCTCTACTGGATTTCTCTCATCAACATATAAATGTGCTGTTACATTGCCCAAATTAAAAACACTACAGGAAAAAAACCCTCTTTCAACCCCATTCCCACCCATCCCCCAGCTACGGGCCCCTCCCTTTCTTTTCTCTTCTTTATAGCTAAATTCCTTGAAAGAGATGAAGTGTCCACTTCCTCTCCTGCGACCTTCCGAACCTCCTTCAATCAGGCTCTTGCTCCTGTGCCAGTGAGAATGCTCTTGATAAACTCTCCACTACTTCCAATTGCTAAATCAAATGGTCAATTCTCAGTCCTCCTCTTACTTGTCTTCCCAGCATCATTTGATACTATCAGTCAATCCTTGAAACACTTTCTTTCCCCATATCTCCAACTTCTAAAGTTAGAAGCGTTCCAAGATTCAATATTTACATAACTTATTTTCTTTGTCTGCGCTCATTACCTGTGAAATCATTCAGTCTTGAGGCATTAAATACCCTCTGTAGGTTGATGACTGTAGCCCAGACCTCTCCCCTGAACTTCAGACTGTTATGTCCGGATTACTATACAGATTCTCTGCTTGCTTACAATATTTAGCATGCACCAAATCAAGATAATTTTCTCTCAAATCTGTTTCTCCTATACTCTTCCCCAATCAGTAAATGAAAACTCTATCCTAGTTACTCAGGTCAAAATCCTAAGAAGCATTCTTAACTCTTCTTATTCTCTGACGTCCATATCCAACCCATGAGCAAATATGTCAGTCCACCAGCATCCAGACACTTCTACCACCTCCACTGCTACCACCCCGGTCCGAGCCATGCCTCAGCCTCTCCTAGATTATTGCAGTACTTTCCTGGTCTTCCTGCTTCCTCCCTGTCTCCCTTCTCAACACAGCAGCCAGAATGATCCTATTGTAAGTCAGATCATATCACTCCTCTGCTAAAAACTCTCTAATGGGTAAGAGGGTAAAGGACAAGACCCTTCTAGTGGCCTCCAAGCCTTACATGAAGGGACGCCCTCCACTTGCCCTCCAGTTGGTCTCATCTCTGCACACACTCCGCTTGCTCACTCTGTTCCAGCCACACTGCTCGTGCTGCTGTTTCTCCGACCCGTCAGCCACACTGCTGCCACAGTCCCTTCTGCCTGAAGGTCTCTTCCCTCATGGGAGGAAGGTTCACTCTCACTTCCCTTCAGCCTCTGCTCCGATGTCCCCTCTGCTCACATTAGCTTTACTTTAGACTAGTTGAGTAGTAATTCCGTCAATACCCTGCATGCCCTTTTCCCACTTTATTTTTCTCCATAGCACTTACCGCCACTTGATATGTATTCATTCATTATGAGTTCACCATCTTTCTCATCTTCTCTCACTAGAATTAATCTCAATGAGGGCAGCAACATTGTGGTTTTTGTTCACTGCTACATCCTCAGTCCCTAAAACAATACCTGGTCCATTGCAGGCACTTAAATATTTGTTGAATGAATGAAATGCAATTAAAACTCTTCCCGTTAAATTAGAAATTTGCATTAATTCAGTCTAAGAACACTGCATTGGTTGTACCTCTTGTGGTGCAAGTTAGTTTTCGGTTTTTCTTACCCACTGCTTCACACTGCTGAGCTGTGCCAAGTAGTAGTGTAAAAACTGGCTTGTCTTTTCCCACATCACGTAAGAGCTGCCGAGAAAAGCCAAATCCCAGATGGGTCTCAGAGAAGGATCGATATGTCCATGACTATCTGAGAGGGAGGAAAAAAGCACATTTGTACTAAGGCATTTTCTGAGACAAAATTTCAGAAGTTTCAGTAATAAAATAGGATTTAAACTTAGTCATGTTAGTCATCTCAGCAAGACCTTGAGCTTGAAGGTGATTGTTGGCATCTGTTTTTACATTACTGTGGAGATTTATATTCTTCATGCTGAACAAATCTATTATAAAACAATTTAATGGCTACTTGCTATTCTGTACACATGCAAAGTAAGAGCTATAATGACACTCAAAGTTAATCTAAAATCTTGTCAGTTGAGAAGCATTTTGAACTAGGTCGAAAAGTCTATCAGTGAACTTCTAATTACCTTCTGGCTTGTGTCTACAGTCAATGTGATGGTCTTTGCTTCCTAATCTGCCAAAATGTCTTTGTCCTCTATCATAGGCTTTAAAGCTAATCAATGTGTTGACAGCATCTCTGTCACTTTTTTTGAACACATGAAGAAATCAGGTGGGTTCTTCCTATGGCATTGTTCTTGGACATAAACTCTTTAAAATTCAGCAAACATTTTTTAAAAACCTACTTAATGCCAGACACTGCTAGAGATAGGGACACATTGATTAATAAATTACCTTTTGTGACTTTTAGGAACTCAAATTTTAGCAAATAATTAATTTATGAGATAACTGTTCATGGACCATCATTTTATATACCTTTGCAGAGATATTCTTTGTCTATATTAAGGCCCTATAATAGTACAGAACATGAGGAATACTAATAAGCTTATTAGGAAACTAATCCTTTTTGGTAAAATAATCTTTAGCATTCTGTACAGAATTCTGTTCTGTATTGGTAGCACTTGACTTGGCTGGTTGATACTAGTAGGACATTCATTCATTGCTTGGGTGCTGTGGAAGACATAATAAAGATGGGTCCCTACCCTCCACATGATGACAGAAATATAGCAGATACAGTCCTTAAGAGAGGGAGGATCAGAGAGCTGGTGGAGAAAAGGAAGGGGGAGGTTTCTTTGGTCTGGAGAGGCTTGGGGAAAGCTTCACAGAGATGATATTTTTGCTGAGACTTGAATTCCTGTCATGTACGTAGGGGTGGGAGTTGGGCACTAGCGAGAGAGCACGCACACTAAGGGAAGAAAACACTGGGCAGGTTCAGGCTCAGTGACTGTTCTTGATAGAGTATGAAATATATTGGCACCAGACTATAAATGGCTTTGTATGCAGTGCCAGGGTGGCTGTGGACTTTGATTCAGTAGTACGTATGGGGAGATGACTTTGCAGGTGGAGTTCAGGACAGATGGAAGGAGGAGACTTAAATCTGACAGACCTGATAGGAGGCTATTAAAGTAGTTTTAGGGGGAAGTAGCACAGGCATGAAGGATGGTGATAGTGGGCTTGGAGAGAGACAAGATGGGTTCTAGATACTTCGTGGAGGTAGGCTTCATAGGAAATGGCAAATTATTAACCGTTAAGAGACAAGTTGAAACTGACCAAAGTTTCTAGCCAAACTCTGGGAGGACAGTATCACAATTAAATAAATGAAAGCCAGAATGTGGAAGCCTTTTGAGTGAAAACAAGCTGAGTTTTGTATTAGGTGTATTAAGTACAGTGTCAAGAAAGCCATGGAGTGGGTGATGTAAAATGCTACAGACAAATCAAGAAGGATAAGGAGCAAGAGAGACCATTAAGTCTGGTGATCTGGGCGGTCCAGATATAGAAGTTTTACTTTTTGTACATAGAGTAGAAACTGAAGAGGAAGAAGCTGAGGCTAAGGCAGTGTGTACAGAATCAAGTTTTCAAGAACAGAAGAATAAGGAGGGAGATGGGTTGATGGTTCTAGGAAGTAATTGGTCAACGGATCTTGACTATCTTTGTAGGGCTAGAGAAGGAACCAGATGACAGATTTCAGAGATGGAAAAGATACTAATGGGGCAAAATTATCGAAGAAGCCAGAGAAACTAGAGTCAAGGGTATAAATAAAAGGAGCCTTAGAATAGAGAGAGAGATGGGGAAGATACAGAGACTTTGAAGCAGAAAAAAGCTGCGGCATCAAATATCTCAATGTCAGTAAAGCAGAAGGTAAGACTGTCTTCGGAAAGTGTGTGAGGCCAGGGTGTGCTCTGGGCTTTGAAGAAATGGCAGAGCTTCAACACAACCATCATGTAGAGTAAAGTAAGAAACCAGAAATAAATAACGAGCAGCGTTGAGGGCCCAGCACTTGGAGAACTTTTTTAGAAGGAAAAACCCGCTGAGAATAAAGCAAAACTGTCTCTTTTCCTGCACTGTCACACCATTCACTGTAGCGCCGTTCATCTAGTCCCCTAATGCTTTCCTGTTAATTAACTCCTGTTAATCAATATCCACGTGCCTTCAAACTTAGAATTGAGCACTTTTAGTATACTTCATTGTCTTTTCTTGTAATTTCTTTAACTTGGTAATGTCATGTTTAAGCTATTTTTATAGATGTTGTTGTAGAAAGTATGTTTCAGACTCCTACTTTCTGATGAGAATATCAGCATTTTATGAATGAATTTGTCATTTCTCCCTGGTATGAGCAGCTTAACCATAAAGATTTCAGAACATTATGGATGCAGGACTCTGAATTCAATATCTTGATATGAACATTTTCTCCTTGCTTTACTGTTAAGAGGTTTCCCATCATGCCTGTTTTCATTGATTGAAAACTTTCTTTATCCAACTCATCCTCATGTATTTCATCTTACAGTGCCTCTAAGCGTTCAGATTTGGTAGGTCAAAACCCATTACCCTAGAAGACAAATGAGTCACACTAAATACAGTGAGGACATTTGAAAGATGGGTGCTAGCAGCACTGCTGTAGAATCACTTGGACAGACGGGATTTTAGCTGATTATTCACAGGTCCTCAGTCTCTTCCTCTGTAAGTAGTACACTGGAGTTTACATACAGGAAGTTTATGAATTTATTAGAAAAAGTAAAACTTTTGGGCCGGCCCGGTGGTGCACTGGAGAGTGCGCCGCTTGGGAGTGTGGTGGCGCTCCCACCAAGGGTTCGGATCCCATGTGGAGACCGGTTCCCGCTCACTGGCTGAGCGCGGTGCGGGCGCAACACCGAGGGTTGCGATCCCATTGCCGGTCCCCGGTACGGGCACGACACTGAGGGTTGTGATCCCGTTACCAGTCAGTAAAAAAGACAAAAAGGAAAAAAAAAAAAGAAAAAGTAAAACTTTTACTCATAATAGAAACCAGACAACTACTTTTGTAGGGGAAAATTAATGTGGAACAAGGACATTCTGAAATGGATTAGATCTTCTCACTTATTAATTATACAATAGTCCAATACCTTGGATCGATTAAATACTGTATAGAACCTGCTGAGGCTTGAACTGGCTAAAATTAACTTTATCTAAAACCCAGTCTTTTCCGTTTTAAGTAGATCATTTTACATATACAGACAAGCTATAAGTAGCACCATTAAATGTCTCTGCTGAATTTCCAGTAACAGCAGAATTTGTAAGTTTTGTTAACAAAAAGGTGCCCCTTGGTAAAAATAAAATTTTTTTGAAGTTTCATAGTAGCCACATTAAATTAGATTGTTATAGAATGACCCTTATGGGTATATAGCACTTTTTAACTGAACATAATCTAGTTAACCTGTGCTGTTAAAAAGTGTCCAAAATCTAGTGATCCTGTGATAAATATTCAAAGAAAAGGTCGGTCCTATACAATTTCTAAAATTTGTGTCTTAAGGAGAATAAATAAACCCTATTTCCCCAACTATAGGGGAAAAAAAATCCCTAGGTAACTATATATTTTTATGTATTAGTCATTAGCGCATTTATTTCCAGCAGTATTAAGTATAAACAAATTCTACTACGACATAAGATTTTGAATTGCTCTTCATAATTCTTTGCACAGGATTTGATCCGAGTTGTCAGAGAATTATTATGTGAGAATCCAAGGCTTTGAATTTTAGAAATGCAAGGAGAAGTATTCCACTTCCAGTTTTTCAAGAACACTTAGTCTCATTAAGCTGATGGGGTGAAGGTACACTCAGGAATGGAGACTGCAGGTCCCCTGGTGTTGAAATGGGTTCGTCGTGGCATCAGGGCAAATGAGTGAACTATGAGAGCGTGTGGGATGGGGAGTGCTGTTGTGGTCAAGCTTCATACCCAAGTGCAACTCCAGAGATGTCTTTTGTAGGTTTGAAAATTGGATTTGCCAGTAAATGTTCTGAGTCTCAACTGCTGCCCACATACTCTGCTGAGTGCCAGCACAAATGAGCTCTGCTTCACTTCCGCTGAGTCACTTCAGAGGGCAGCTCATGTATTAGAGATGGCACCACTGCCCATTAGCCACTGCCCTGAAATGAGATAAACATGACTCCACTGCAGCATCCCAGAAAGGACCTGAGACAGTTGGCTCACGCAGCCGTGGTGCATAAGGCTGTGATGGGCTGAGTGAAGACACTGGAAGTCGTCATGTAAAATTTTCAAAGCCACCACAAAAATCTCAAGAAATGTCACTCAGGTTTCTGGACTGAACCCTGAAAACTGCACAACTGTGTGCATGTTCCATTGCGAAGAACTCTCTACCTCTTACTTGGAGGCTCAGCTCTTGCTGTGCCCTTAGTTCTAGGATGGGAAGTGGGGAGATTAACGGGGCATACATAGCTTTTGGTGGAGTTACTATATTGCACTAAAGATGAAGAAAAGGAAAATGAAACCTCTGAGTTTTGTTTAAATAATTAGGCACACCACCATCTATAGTTGAATTAAAGTGCCACTTTAGGGGTAAAATTTAAGTGATCATTCTTTTTAAATTTTAGCAATTACATATACTCCTGAATATAGAAATTCCACATATGAATTCATACCAGGTATGCTGACTATATCCAAGGGGTTCTTAAGTCGCTTCATTTGCTTGAAAAGCAGGTAATCCTCTTGTAGTCTTCTCTTTTTCTCGAGGAACCGTGTACAAGTTACATTAACAGCTGGTCTGGGTTTCTGATTCTTGAAAAACACTTGAGCAGAACATTTCCCCAAATGTTCCTCACCTTCCTGAAGTAAAGATTTTGGAATTAAAAAGGATGATTCCTTTTCACCCCCGACCCATTGCATTGCAGTGGACACAAACACACAAGATTGAGAAGAGTTGTTGTACACGGCAGGTATGATCTGCATCAGGAGATGTCACAGGCTTAGCTTTAGAAAGCAAGTTTTGTGCTCACAGCTGAATATAACAGTCCTTCACTCCTTCCTACTATTTTAACTCTTGCTTTGTGACTGTGCCCTTATAAAATAATGCTGGGCCTGCTCCAAAAAAATTTCATCGATGTTCATTGAGCACTGCTTGGCTCAAACCTCTAGGACAGTGGATCCTTTACCCTCTACTGTGGACCAACATAGGGCTTAGCCAGACCTCAAGGTTACTAACTTGAACAAAAAGATGACACCGGCTCCTGTTAACAAAAATAACAACATCTTCATGCTGCCTTATGAATTAGGTCCTCTTATTCCAATTTTAAAGGTTAAGATACTGGAGTTTAAAGAGGAACCTACCCCACGTCTCACCTTTGTTTGCATTCATATTTAAGTGTGGATGTAACGGACATTCTAAGATCTCCCTCACTTATTCTCAAATCCAGAGACATCTGGAACTTCAACTAGACATTTCTAGAGTGTTGGCTCTTCGCCCTTTGGGGTCACAGATTCTTTATCCTGACCATAAAAGCCAGGGAACCTATTCCAAGAAAAATGTACATATGCTCATACTATCAGCATGGGCCTAGAATTTGAATTTGAAGTTCACGGGCCACTATACACCACCCACCCAAACCCATCCAAGGGCCCCTAGTCAAGAACTTCTGTCACAATAAGCTGGTCAAGCAATTGAGGCAATAATCTTTCCATTTTGCATCCTGAGGGGTATCCCAGTTAAAACAACAACTAAAAATAAACTTAAAAAAGAAAAAGCCCACAAAGAAACAAATCATAACAAAAATGGGATCTGCTTAATAAGCCTATCTCCAAAACTAACTCAAAAAACTGAAATAGACTTTTGTTGGGAAAATATAGGAAAATGGTCAGGGCCCCTCAGATGTTCAGAATCTCCTGCCAAGCATTTGCTATGAATAGGTTGTGTGTGGGCAGAATTAGTGTGCCTGTGTGGCGCTGCCACCTTGGCTGGAATTTTACTGCCTTGGGCAGCCGCCACCACACAAGTGGCCATGCTTTCTCCACTTCCAAGGACCTGTTTACTGTTTACCTAGCTCATAGACCTGCATGTAAAGGGTCTGGTGACCCAAGCTGGCATGTGAAAGACTTGTGACCCAGTATGTGAATGAGCTTAAGGGGTCTGTGAGCTCCAGACCCAGCCCTAGCTCGACAATTGGCCCAGTTGGTGCAGGATTACCGGCAGGTAAAAGAGCCAGATAACTGGTGTGGTCGTGTAGCTCTACAGTTGGCGTAGTTGACAGGATTCCGACATTAGCCTAGCCATAGCAGAGCACCACAATTGGTGTAGTCTGTGACAGGATTCTGAGCAGTTACAGGAGCAGAAAGCCCTTGGAAGAAGGAGGAAATGTGGCTACTTTTGAATATGCTCTGCCCTATGGCCACCTTCCTATTGAATGGGATCTGGTTGCTGCACACTGTACTGTAAGGCAGCATAGACCAGGTACCACAATGCAAAACCGCTTGGGAGGGGGAGGAAATGTGGCTGTCCTTGAGCATGTGGTGCCCGGTGGCCACTTTTCTGCTGACTGGAGCCTGGCTACTGTTAACTAGGCTGCAAACTGATCAAGATTTGCAGCAGAAAGCAGAGTTGTTGGAAGTATGGATAAATGTCCTGGAGGATGATACGCAGTGACTGGCCACTCCTGTCCCTCACACCAGGGAAGATGGCCAACCCAGTGGTGAGTTGGAGGGAACCATTCATCTCCAGGCACAGCCTGTTGCACACAAGAAATTGAGACAGTAAAGCAGCAGAAACAGGGAGAGCCCCTGGCTGCTACAGCTATGGGGCCTAGGGGTGGATGGTCTAACGTGCTCTAGAGACGATATAGTAAATACATGTTGTGTTTGCCTGAAGGCAAATACCTCAAAGGGTGCCACTTAAACCTGATGGCTGGATGGGTGCCATAAAAACCCTAGAAAAGAGTGCCACATGCAGATGGGCAGATGACCTGAGGATGGGTGCCCCTGCAGAATTTCAAGTATGTTTTCACCTAGTGAAAAGGTGGAAAAGTTAGTCTCCATTACTACATGCCTGTCTTGGTGGCAGCAGTTACAGAATAGCCGCAGATATGTACAGGGGCAGGGCAGCTGCTCCTTGATGGACTGGGTGAATGCAGCTGTTTGAACTGTGGGCGAATGCTGCAAAAACTGCCTGAGACTGAGTGAGTAGCCAGTGAAAGCCAAGCTGATTGAAGTAATTCAAAAGCTGGAGAAAAACGAGGGTGAAGCAGATAAACTGTTTGCTAAAGACATTATCTTGGCAGTGAGGCAGTTAGATGCTAAGAACCAGGACAATGGGGAAAATGCCCTAAAGGCATTTGAGAAGTCTGAATGGGTGCATCACAGGCCCAGAGGGTGTTTGAGAAGTTTGGGAGAGCACCGCTCCCATCCTAGAAGGACTGAGTTGTCCCAGAGGACAGACCTGAGGTGTCATTGCCCTTGGCAACCTGCTCCCTTCATCCCAGCTGCTCTGGCTGGAGCAATCCTGCCTCAGCACCTCCAAAGAGCAAAAGCCAAAAACATTGGTGGTGTTAATGTTGTGTTAAGTTTTCAGGCGAGCAGTATGTGAGAGCAGTGGAGGCACAGCAGCCTCCACCTAGATTTCAGAAGATGTATGAAAAAAGCTCAGGGACTCAGGCGGAGACCTGCTGCAGGGGTGGAGGCACTGCAGAGGTCATCTACGGAGCAATGTGGAGCAGAAACCCCCACTGAGGAAATGTCTAGTGGAGCCAGGATGGCAGGAGAGCCACCAGGAGCCCAGAACTGTGGGACTGATGGCAGGGTGCAGTGCCAGCCTGGAAAAGCCACAGGCACCAGGGCAGCTCAATGGGCTGCTCTTGGCAGAGGTGTAGGAGCAAGGTTGCCCTATGCTTTAGGGGTGCAGGTGCCCCAGTGTGCTTAACGTTTGCCCTGTTTGGGTTTTGGATTTGTTTGGGGCCTGTTTTTCCTTTCTATTCCTCCCTCCTAGAATGGGAATGTGTACACGGTGTCTGTCCCACTGTATCTTGGGAGTAGATAAACTTGTTTTTGACTCTTTACAGGTTCACAGCTAAGAAGGACTTTTGCTTTTGGTTTCAGAGGAGACTTTGGACTTTTGAGTTGGTGCTGCAACAAGCTAAAGACTTTTGGGACTGGGATGGAATGTGTAATGTGTGAACGTAAGGGTAATTTATCCTAACTAAGGGAACATTGTGGAAGATTCTGAATGTGTTGATTATTAGATGAGGAACCCTGATGCAGTGGATTGTTGGGAACATATAGGAAAATGGTCAGGACCCCTCAGATGTTCAGAATCTTGTCGAGTATTTGCTGTGAATAGATTATGTGTGGGTGGAGTTAGTGTGCCTGCACGGCGCCACCACCTCAGCTGGAATTTTACTGCCTTGGGCAGCTGCTGCCACACAAGTGGCCATGCTTTCCAACTTATGGCTTCCAAGGGCCTGTCTGCTGGTTACCTAGCTCATAGACCTGTGTGTAAAGGGTCTGGTGACCCAGCCTGGCGTGTGAGGGATTTGTGACCCAGTATATGAATGGGCTTGAGGGGTCTGTGAGCTCCAGACCCAGCCCTAGCTTGACAATTGGCCCAGTCGGTACAGGATTACTGGCAGGTAAAAGAGCCAGACAACTGGCATAGTTTTGTAGCTCACAACTTTCCAATGGGTAATTTTTCCTCCACAGGTGCTAGTTGTGAGTGAGAGTGGATTTTAGTGGTGCATTAAGATGCTAATTTTTGTTGCAACATAGAAAAAAGATGAAGGGAGCGTTCAGGGAGAGGCATATCAAATGGCAGAGACAACTTGTGCATGGTCTTCTTGATGTTGAAGCCATTTCCAGGGAAGAGAAAAAGAACCAGGTGTTGCTCCCTTATGTTTTTCATTCCCTTTTCTCCCCTAAACAACTCCACAGAATCAAAGCAGTTGCCTGAAGGTAAAAGAACTCTCCTCCCCCCCCTAAAATGGAATATTTCAATTGGCTAGCTGTGCTCTTAATGTATCTACAGGATCAAATCCAGAGAAATATACTGCTGGTCAAAATAATCTAGTAATTGTTTTCGCTTTAGCTTTAATCTAACACTTTGAGTTTGCAACACAAGAAATCAAAGTCATCTTTCTTATGCTTTAAGAAAATTTTAATTCTCTGTTTAAATAAACAAAGTCAGAGTATATTGTTGTCATTTTAGATTTTGTTTCTGAATATCAGAGCATTCTTTCAGTAGCATCAGGTTGGGGGAGTCCTGCCTTCACCTCCAAAGCTCTGCCACCCAGAGACACATTAGTGTTGAGGCTTCCTGTTCATCCCAGGCTGCTTTGACTCAGCACAACACAGAGAGAATTTGGGCTGGTCTCTCCACCCATGTTCTGGTTGCTACCTCCCAGCTTGCCCAGCAAATGGAAGCTCATCTGGCTCTATTCCTATATGTTTTCTATTTGCTTTCTTCTTGAAAACAGAGAAAAGGGAACTTGGCAAAATGTGGTCTGCTTGGTCATAACTGGTGAGGCTAATAATGCCTGAAGCATACACTGGGAGTGCTCTGTGTTTTACAGAACCTCTATGTTTATAAGCTCGTAGAACTGGCCTCAGGCTATGCTGGCCTGCCAACCTGAAATGTCACCAGCTGACAGGAAAAGGAACAGGTTGGCATTTGAGAGTGACTCATTCAAAGGACTCTAAGGTGCTAGGACAGATACCAAAGGGAGCTGTGAAATTCTCTCCCAGGCCTAAGGAAGGGGGAGATGATGGCTTTGTGGATTGTTTTAAATGAAACCTGCATAAGGCCATGAAGTTGAAGTAGTTAAACCTTGAGCTGCCTAGTTCTGTTCCTCAATCTTGAGAACAAACAAAACAAAGCAGGAGAAAACAAAACCTCCAGGTCACTACATATTAAGATTCTCATTTTTTTCTTTTCTAAACCATATTTGTAGGAGTTGCCACTAGGATACTTCGATAGTGGTGGGGGCTTACCTCTGGGTGGTAGCGCTCTGTGCTAAACACCAGGTCAACTTCACATCCCTTTTTTGGATTAATCTGAAATACAGAAACTGAATCTTGGTATAGTGGACGCTGCATTAACATCTTCATATCTGAGAATCATACTCTTGGGATAACATGACATGCAAATGGTAGCTGTTACGTTTGTACCTGAATATAATTGGTGATTTTTTAGGAGAAAAGATCTCAAATTTTGGCCTAATTTGTCATTTTGCTTGGTAGTTTGACACCTACTCACAAAGAGAGAGGCTGAAAAAGGGAAACGGTTGTATTATGGCTGGACACTGACTTTGTGAGAGCAGCTAAGTGAAAAACAGACAAGCGTATGGCGGGACCTGGACTGAATTCCTTCACTCCCCGACTACTCAGGGCCTTCTGCACGCCCTGCTCCAGGTGCTGGGGCTACATGAGTGAGCAAGACAGACGAGGGCTCTGCAGGATGCCACTCACAGTCCAACAGGGGATACGGGCAACAAACGTGTTATAGATAATAAATTGTGAGTTTTCACGCAGTGATAAGTGAAGAGAGAGTCCTCTCTAGGCTGAGATCTAAGGGACAGTGAGGAAGCAGCCACACCCAGATCTGGGGTTGGGGATGTGCCATACAGGCAGAGGGGACCCAGGTTGTAGGAATGAGGTGGAATTTGCAGACAAGTCACTAGTCTGTGACAGGATGAATTACCAACATTGAAGAAGTCCTCAGAGTTATGGTCTTCCTTTCCTTTACAGTTTCCACAGGCGGGCATACTTCTAAACCTTTGAAATGCATGCTTAACCTTTTTAAACTGTTGAATTGATTCTAATGCATATTTTTAGAGTATGTATACCCATATTATTGAAGCAATGTAAACTGTTTGCAAAAACTTTATATCGTTTGCTATCATTTTTTTTTAAAGAGAGCAAAATGATCATTTAGTAAAGGGAGTATTTTCTAGACAAGAAAGGGAACTGTCTGCTGTATGGAGATGAAGTTACTTCATATGGTCTTGATTAAGTTAGATTCTGGAAACATCAATTTCCTTTGAATCTTCACCTGGGAACACAACAACCAAACAGGGTTATCTTATTTTAAATAGACCAGATATTATCTATTCCTATTACAGATTCTTTAAAAATGCTGGGAAACTGGAGAGGGAAGGATGGGCTTCTGTGGCAGTTATTTATGTGGAGAAGACTCGTATTTAAACATGTGTATGTATGGATGTCGCTGGTGCAGGGCGAGTACCCAAGAGAACTGCACACACAGCAGTTTGCTTTGGGCTCATTTTCAGTCTGCAAACAATCGGGTGTAAGTGGAGGCATTGCTTTCAGCTTACAAAAGGGACACACACAAGTCTGTCTATTCCCTCATTCACTGTTCTCCACCTACTACTAAGGCGGGTACTAGGGAGATACAAAGAGATATGACATCCGGTCCAACCTTCCCAGAAACCTACGTCTAGTGTAGAAACAGGCAGGTGAGCGGGTTTGCAGTGTGGCTGACGGTAGGGCTGAAGCTGCCTGTGTGCAGGGGCTACTACGTAGGATGCTTTCTACAGTGGGTGAGGCCTGCACTAGCTCTTTGGGGAGCCAGTGACAGGCAGGCAAAGGAAAGGAGTGTAGGGGCTGGCACTCCAGGAGACAGCAAAGCAGGAGAAAGGGTGGCCTGGGGAGGCTGGTGTGAGGTCACGGAGAGCCTCGTTTTTTATGAAGAAGACTTGGAACTTGATCCCCAAGTCTGTGGGAGCCACATCAAACATATCTACAGTACACAGGTTGTTGTTCAGAGTAAGATAAAAGGGCTTAGAACAGTGCCTGGATCAGGGTGAAAGTTCAATGCATGTTCACTGTTTTCATCATTATTAAAATCCGCAGACATGAGGGAGAGGAAGAACGGTGCTGGAAACCAGAGTGCGGCCCAAGTCTGAGGACAGGGCAGAACGACAGCGTGGACTCCCACCACGTTTGCTTTCACTTTGGTTTGCTCCCGAGACAGCCATCAGCAGTGAAAGGCTGTACGTGAGCTATGCGTGGCAGAGGCTCAACAAGAGTCCCACGCCTCTGTCGCAGAGACTCCCGACGTCCAGTGTCCTCACCGCCTGCCAGGTCAGAGGCGCCGCGCCTGGGGGTCTGCGCTTCCCACGCACGCGGGGCCCCCCAGGGCAGCCTCCCGCACAGGAGGCCGCCGAACCCCGCGTTTCCGACGGGGAGCTGAGCAGGGGGTCGGGGAGGAGGGAGCCAGAGTGGACGGGCTCGATCCGTGGTGCGTGGAGGTACCTGAGACGCCCGGGGGGACGGGGGGGGCGAGTGTCACATAAGTAGGGCCGGCAGCGGCGCCGGTGCAGCCCGCAGGGAAGGCGGGAGAATGAGGACGGTCCGAGCAACGTCCGCCTTCGCGTCAGGCGTGAGTCCTGCGACACCGACGGATCCGCCACGTCCTCCTCATCCGTGACACAACGGTGCATGGTTGAAATAGCGACTCAAGATACGGTTGGACTCGGCAGGTGTTTTGAAGCGCACGAAGGCCACGGGAGGTACGAAAAGAAACAGAACTGGATAAACAAAGGCTATGGCTCGGTCAGCATGGAGGCGGCCCTTGCGAAGGCTGATGTCCTTTGCTGATTGGATTGCCTTGTTTTGTTTGAAACAGGCAATCATAAAAGCATCAACATTTCATCCAAAACAGGATTTGAAGATTTTTAGATTTTTGTTGGACTTGACCACGGATCAAGACCCCGTCCTTTCATCTCCCACAAAGGCCTCGCTCCCTTCTCCCTTCCTCCCAGTCACAAGCTCCCCTGAGCTGCTCCTCTGTGCTCTCGTGGGATAAGCAGCCGCAGCCACGGGGCCTGCGGTGGAGTCGGCACCGGGCAGTGCCCGCTTCCGCTGCACGCAGTGCCTCGTGCTCTGGCGGTTTTAGGATTGTGTGTAACACTGGCTGTCCTTGATTTAAATGTGAGCGTCTACAATATCCCAAGCACTTTGCAGGAACTACGGCCAGCAAAACAGCAGCTTCAGCCCTCAGGGCAGTCTGCTGGGGAGAGGACTTTAAATAGATCATTGTGCAATTGATTATCTGATTATGGTTGACTTAAGAGCCATGAAAGGATAACTGGAGAATTGATCTGGTCTAGGGATCAGGGAAGTAACATTTGAGCTGAACTCTGTAGACTAAGAAAGAATTGACTTTGTGGGTGGGGAAGGGAGCTGGCAACTCCTTCCACACAGAAGGAACTGGGGGCTGAAGGCCCCGAGGAGCAGCCAGTGGGACCAGAGGGCAGAAAGACTGGAGCCGGACGGCAGAAGAGGCTGAGCGGGTAGGCAGGGCCACGCCTGCGGGCTAAGGTAAGGTTTTACCATGAGAGAAGTGGGAAGCCATGGGCTAGAAGGAGGGATTTTGAAAAGATCCCTCTAGCTGGAGTGAATGGACTTTTAGTCCGGAGTGAATGTAGAGAGGGTAGGAGGCCAGCTGAAGAGGGCAGATAAGGATGGCTGGGGCATTGAGCCAAGGCAGCAACAGCAGAAATGGACAGAAGTTTGTGGTGGACAGATGTGCGTCCTGTCAGAAGGGAAAAAATGAACAGTTATTTAATTCAAGATCAGAAATAACCACTGGAAAACAACACTCTGTATTAAGACAACATTATTAAGAGCAACTGTCTTTTAAAAGATGCTCATATTTATAGCATAAAAACAACAGAAATCCTATTGGGCTGATGCCTGCTACTGTTCTAAACACTTCACATGTATTAAGCATGCTAAAAATGCTGAAGCGTGATGTAGGCCTACCAGGCGCTGACTCCTATGAGGACATCCATCGTGTGTGGTGATGGGGTGTTGGAGGCAGTCGGGTGTTCATCCCTGACAAGGGGCAGGTAAAATGGGTGTGCATGCCATGGAGTACTATGCAGCAGTCAGAAATAACAAATTAGCCTACCGACAGCAAGACAGACAGATCTGAAAGCCACAGTGAATGAAAACAGAAAAAAAATTTATAGACAATACCATTTACAAAAATTCTAAAAATAAAAATTTGCACATAAACCAACTATCTTTTATGAGAACACTTACAAACAGAAGAATACTCATCACACATTTTACAGTGGTTGCCAGTGGTGGGGTTGGGGGTTGGGGTAGGAATGAGCATGAAAGGGAATAAAGAGACACACAAACACATGCAGGAAAGGAGCCTCGCCCAGTCTGAAGATGACAACAAACCCCAAACCGAGGGGTGTGATTCCCTCAGCCCTTGGCAGCTGAGGCCAACCAAGAAGAAACAGAGAACCTGAGCAGACTGATTATGAGTAATGAGATTGAATCAATATTAAAAAGTCTCCCATTAAGAAAAGCCCAGGACCAGATGGCTTCACTGTTTGAATTCTACCAAACATTTAAAAAAGAATCAATACCAATTCTTTTCAAACTCTTCCAAAATTGAAGAGGCGTGCACTCTTCCAAGCTCATTCTATGAGGCCAACATTACCGTGACACCAAAACAAGGCAAGGACACAACAAAAAAAGAAAACTATAGTGCAATATCCCTGATGAACAGTCACACAAAAATCTTCAACAAAATACTGGCAAAGCAGATCCAGCAGTGTATTAAAAAGATTATTCAGCATGATCAAGTGGGATTTATCCCAGGGATACAAGGTTGGTTCAACATATGGAAATCAGTAAATGTGATATATCACATCAACACAATGAAGGACAAAATCCCACCTCAACTGATGCAGAAAAAGCATTTGACAAAATTCAACATCCGTTCATGCTAAAAACGCTCAACAAATTAGGCATAGAAGGAACATACCTCAACACAATATAGGCCATATATGACAAACCAACAGCTAATACAAATGAGGAAAAGCTGAAAGCTCTTCCTCTAAGAACCGGAGCAAGACAAGGATGCCCACTCTTTCTACTCTTATTCCACATAGTACTAGAAGTTCTAGCCAGAGCAATTAGGCAAGAGAAAGAAATAAATGGCATCAAAATTAGAAAAGAGGAAGTCCAATTGTCCCTGTTTGCAGATGACATAATTTTATATACAGAAAAACCTAAAAGCTCTACAAAAAAACTCTTAGAACTGATAAACAAATTCAGCAAAGTTG